CACATGTATTGGAAACGAAGAGAAGGTGAATCTCTGTCATGAGAAAAGTTGCCTAATTTAAACTAATAATCATGCGGGGGCATACTCTTTCTTACTGACAGGTACCGCTRCTACTATTTAATTAGCAGGTATGACATTCATAGTGCAAGATAAGTACACGTTTTTCACAAAGTGCAGACAACCACTTCTGTTATTTTAATGTAGCATGGTCATGAGATACAGGCTTGTCAAGCCTTAATGGTACTAAGTCAAAACTCTGCTATTATGAAGTGTAAAGGYGTCCAAAACCTTGCCCCTGAAACCAAAAGGTTGAGAAGTCTTGAATGTAAAGTCTTGAATGCAAATGAGATGCAACAGAAATCTAAGTGTTGATCTCTTCCTGGTATTGGGAGGTCCAGAGCTGCGGTCATTATTGTAAACATGATGAGTGCTAATTGCTCRAGGGTAATGACTTTTCTCCATCTGCTGTGAGCTGTGTTTTGTTAACACATGCCAAGATTGCACTTTGCAGCCAGGGCAYGCTGCTGGCTCRTGCTTGGCTTGCTGTCCACCAACACCACAGGTTCTTCTCAGCACAGCTGCTCTTTCCACAGCTCTCCTCACTGTGAGAGGCTGCCCCTTCCAAAGGCACAACCTTTTGCACCTTCCTTCCTGATTTTGCAGGGATGTTCTATGATGAGACATTGAATTGCAGAATTTTCATTTCACATTCTATTTAAAATARAAGTTGAAGAAAATACTTTTTTTCCCCACTTTCAAGGACATTTTGTAAAACTGTGAATTAAAGTCTGTTGTTTTTCTATTTAGAAATCAGCATATTTGCTACAGAATTTGTTAAAGATAATAAAAGCAGTATCAACCCAGGTAATTTTCACTGATAAAGTGAACAATACTACAACTTCCAAAATCTTCTGGCTGATGTTTCTTTAATTTCTTAACTATAACATAGCAAAGAGGTTTGTGTAGTACGCTTGATTTTCAGACTGCATTTATCACTCTTTTCTTCTTTCAATGGTTTGGAGAGCTTCTCTTAAGCTGTCTTCACACACTTGGAAATTTCAGCAGAGCTAAGAGGCTTTTAACAAAACAGCTGGCTTCACTTATGAAGAATACTAAAAGAAACCACGTCTGAACCTCATGCTCAGTGGAAATTTTGAGGTAAGGACCACAGAGCGGATCCAGGAACTTTTCTTGCTATTATGGCAACAATGTGACATCACACAGCCTCAGTTTAAAGCAAAATTACAAAAGTAAACAAAACTGTCTTTAAAAGCATTCTGTTTATTGCAAAATTCTGAATCTTCCTGTACCAGACTCTGCATCCTGAAGAACGAGTGAAGGGATTCTACTTACGTAAAGGAATGAATCATAGCCCTGAAACAGACTAATACYGAGCCTGAATTCTATGCAGAACGAAATGTTTAGATTGATTCATGCAGGGAGATTTTACACAAATCAATAGAAGTATAGAAAACACCCTAATTCTGCAGCATCTTTTGGTTTGTAGGTTTTTTTGAAAGAAGTTTTTTGCAGGGATRGAATACAATAATTTTAATTATTATGGGAGTATTAATAATATAAGCGTCATTACATCTTTTCTAAAGCAAACTATCCAAGACATTTTCTGTGCAGTATACACAAGAATATCTGACATAAGTGATGTTAAGCAATAAATAAAACATTAATAGACAGCAGGCTGTGAAAATAGAATCAAGCCTGTGGCATGCAATTAACTGATAGGCAAACTAATCTTCCATGCCTTGTTTTTAGCTCTGCGTTAATATCTAAYGGGGATTTATTTCTTCTTTCAGTTCCTGACACAAACTTGTCTAAAAGAACCTGTCTTGATTTTGCAACTCTGTTATGAGGAATAGCACATCTAGTTGCTTCAACRGTTCATCTACTTTCCTATTAAAAATCTGCTTGTTTTTTTTGACGCCTACAGTTCCAGCCATGTCTACCAGAATGAAGAGGTATTCTTGCAAAATTGGCATTTGAAACCCCATTAAATTTTCCTTTGGTGAAGTAAGAAGACCAAATTCCTTGAATTTTCTTATACAAAACATGATTTCCTATCATTCTTGACATTATCCTCTCAATACTTTCTAGTTTCAAATATTCTGCTTGAAGTGTAGCTATAAAAGCTGAACATGATATAACCATACGTCTCCTCCACATCTGAATGCAAAACTACTCAGCATTCCCCCTTCATGAAAACAAGGATCTCTTTCATGTCTGGGTCACAGCTGGGCTGGGAACTTAAARTCTCTTGACTATTTCTTGTGATACTCAGCTATATTCAAGTAGCAACTGTTGACAAAAATATGTTGCAATTCTCAGGGCATACATTCTTTGCTTTGTAAATTATACCTTTACTTTTCTGTAAAGTATGTGCTCACTGCATGAAGCTTGACACTTCATACAACCCACTTCACTTTTTACGATTTGACTCTGCCGCATAATCTGCACTTCATTTCAAACTTTATCAGTAATGATTTTATGTCCCAGTCTAGGTCATAGGTAAAATATACAGTGTATGAGAAATGAGTAATACTTGCAGAATCTTACCTAAAAAGCAATWTATGATTTCCAGTTAGGTGAAGCTCCTTCTTCCTTCACTCAGGTTTATGAACTGTAGGCAAGCCTTTCTGAAAATAATACCTTTTTATTTTCCCATGCTGATCACCAGCATGCAAAGTCAGAATTCAACACTTACTTATTAGAGCAGATTTTTAATAAGAAACTGAATGTAGAACAATAGAAACAATATTGAAACATGCAAAAGGCASAGAACTAGATTGTAGTTCTTTTCTATCCATTTTAATATCCACTATTTTAATATGGAAAGTAAAAAGCCAGATTCTTGTGTGAATATATACATGCTATGTTTAAAAAATACTGGGGATGAAACGGTCCAAATTATACATGTTATGTGAAGAAATTATTCTGGAAATAAAACAGATTAATTYGTATGCATTATAAAGTCTGTTGTCACAAGTAAGAAAAGGATGTTGAGGTTTTAGCATGGTTTGCGGGGGCACAACAAAGTTACATCTGTTTCTGTGCTGGTGTGGTTAGCACAAAATATGTAGAGTGAAGAGACAYAACATTTTTTGCCTGAAGTGATAAGCTCACTGGGTTCTATTCTGAGATTCATATATCACATATAGATGCTTTGATCTGCTACCTCTAGACTTTCAAAATGTAACTGTCTTTAATCAACAAAGAAATAAACCTGCCATCATTGACATCAGGTTCTAAAAATCTGAAAAACTATTTATTTATCTGGTCTGTTAGYTGTTGCCTAACTGTAACTATGCCAGTTCCTCTTTTTTTGCATGTTTCTGTTGCTTTTCTGATACAAAATTGATTTATATCTCAAGGAGGCAGTCTAGAAACCTTGTAAGGAATATCAGCAAATGTTATGTGGGTRCTATCTATGTCATCCATACTTCAATAAACAGTAATTAAGATTTGCTAAAATGTAAAAATATCCTGTGCAGATAGCATTCTCAGCAAAGGGTAAAGGTTTGTGGTTCCCCATGGGTTATATGACTTCAGTGGGGTTTTTTGTATTGAAGAGTATCATATTTTTGAATGCTGTCAAACCAGGGAAAAGAACATTCAAATATTTTGTGCCATTTTTATGAGGGTAATGCTGAATACAGAAAAAATATACTCCAGAATGAAAGGGCAGTGTTCAGACATGAGCTACTAAGACAATGTAGAATGCCTAAGGTTTGCTAATATCTTGGGCAGCTGACACACTACAAATTAGACCCRATACTGAGTTCAGATAATCATAGCTACCAGTTTCATATGTTTAGTCTTCAGAAAACTTGACAMTGTATAGCAGAAGAATACCAGAATACCCCTGAAAACTGAGAACTTATTAGGCACCTCCATTTYTAATTCCAGGGGAATTATTTACAAAGAGTGTTCTGAAATGTATGTCACAAAGTTCCATGAAAAAATATTTCCTGTCAACTTATAGTCAGCCATCACTAGACACAAGAGAAAGGGAAAAATTAATAAAACTGCATTTAAACATGAAGATTCTATTAACAACTTCTGGGAAAAACAGTAAAACTCAGACTTCATATGGGAAAAGAAACAACCACTTGAGCTGTAAACAAGGAGAGCATTTCACCAATACTCTGCTAAATCTGACRCATTCAGTCAACATTCTGTGGGTGTCATGGTGCGCCATAGATATTTTCAGACAAACACCATTTCAGATAAACACCTATCACACAGGAAAATCTGCAGCAAGTGTCTGGAGTGTATGATGCCCTTGAATGCACCACGTGAATAAAAATAGGGCTCTCAGTGGATGGGTGGAACCCCCACTGTGAATTCCAGAGCCTGGTGTGAGGCTCAGGCTCAGCAGCGGAGCCACAAACAGAGCAGCGCTTGCCCATCCTGCAGCTTCACATCAGGGGGTGCTCAGGCCATTGCTGGGAGGGGAGGTGGCTGGGGGCAGCCCCAGTGCAGTGGAGCGACAGCCCAAAGGTTTTCAGGGGCTGGGAGAGTTGAGATGCAATGCAAAGTTAGAAATAGAAAGRTTGGATGGCAAAGGTTCGTTTCTCTTCTGTCAACAAACATTGCTTTCATGTACATGATGCCCACTTTATCCTGACTTAGAGAAAACACAGTTTTCATTTATTAACTAAAAATTGCAACATGTTTTAAAAGAATAGCTGATYACGGAATTTAATTCATTTAAAATGAATTAATTCATAAACTGCTCATATTACAAAACCTGAATAGATATCTTAGTGCACTTAGAGGAATTGGACATATTATTTTCTTAAACCAAATCTTAATRAGCACACTATCACCTCTATTTAAGTTCAGAATCTGATTTAATTTTGTTCAGAAATATCATCAGACTATTTAAGATAAGAAAAACATAAATTTCTCTGTTGGTGTTGGGTTTTTGTTTTGGTGGCTTTTTCTTTTTTTTTTTTTTTTTTTTTTGTTTTTTTTATTTTGCAAATTTTTATGTGAAGTAAGAGAAAACATTTAATTTGAATGGGATTTTGCTCTTGCAACTATAAACAGAAAAACGTTTCTCACGGAGGAAGTTGTAAGTTGGACACATTTCTTACAAACCTTGAGAGAAAAGGTTTCTTAATATTCATGAACCACATTTTTTCATATATTAATGTCTTCACTTGCGGTTTTTTCCCCATCAGTTGATTGTGTTTCTTTGGAACTTTGGAGAAAGATTTCTATATCCTATGAAAAGGAAGAAGAAATGTTAAAGGATCATTTCATGTTGCAGCCTGAATATTGCAGTAATAACACATTAAAATTTGCAGTAATAACACCTGCCTATGCACGGGGTGAGCCTTCTAACTAGTGACTAGATTATGGTGAAGAACTACTTTGGAGGAGGTAAATTACACATTTCCCATGTCACAGACAATGTCTTCCAGAAGGGCACCAGAACTCATTCATCTGAGGTGCTACAATATCACTGAGATGAAGTTTTCGTTTTATCCACAGAACTTCATTGCCTTTGGTGGTTTTACAAAACAACACTGTGTTAAAATGCAACTYTTAAACAGATCTGAACCATCAGCTTAAAATTATTGGTAAAGAGAGGTATCAAGACTATTGGTTAAACCAATAAACATTATTCAGTACTTGAAAAGACAAATTATTCAATTAAAGTTTTTTTAAAAGATACTTCAGAATGAACTTTAAAAACAATTCCAAGAAATAGATACAAAATAAGTAACTAACACTTGGAATATATTTATACCCTCAGTAGGTTAATTTTGTGCTCAGTTCTTTATAACATTGTTCCATTTATTAATTTTCAATAATTTTKTWTTAGCACAATCATCTCCATTTCCARTTTCAGCAGTATTATTCACTGTATGATGTCTATGCAGGATGAACAAGGAATTTCTGGTTTAAAAAAATAACATTTTGAGTGTTCAATACAAAGATAAATATTTGACTTTCTAAAATTTTGTTATTTTCATAGTAATTTTTTTTCTTTTAGAAGAATAATTAACAGTCAGATTTTTATATATACATAGAATTTTTATATACATGTAGTTAAATATAAATTTTGTTCACATTTTGAAGATACAGCCTTTTTTCAAAAGCAGGAATTGCCTGTATGTAATGATGCCTCACAACCTTGCAAAATATCAGAAGCATTTCAGTGAACACACAACTTGCTAAAAGAAATTTTTTACCAGGACTTAGCTGCAAATTTATCTTTGACTTTAAGAAATACTTCACTATAAGAAGGCCTTTTTCCACACATTGAGTCAGAAAAAGGAGTTTCAGTCCTGGTTCAACAAAAATAAATGTTATCAAATATTAAAGTAAATACTGTCAAAATATTGGAGATATAGTACTCCAACAGCTTTATGATATCTTTGTCTACTGAAGGAAATTTACTGATTTTTTTACATGAACACATGTTATTTATATTTCTTTAATACAAGAAATAGTATCTTTAACGTAAATTAAATTTTCTAAGCTTATTTAGGGATGGGGTACATGTTGAGGAGAAGCATGACATAGGTCTCTTTTTTAAATGAGATATTTAAACACTGAGTTAGATTTTTCCTTTTCTTTCACCTTGGAACATTTAAAACACCACGTGTAAAAAAGCTTCTCAAGTTTCAAAAGTATTACATTTACAGCTTATGACTAAACAGTGATTCAGCAGATCTTTCTTTCTGTCAAAGCAGATACATGATCAAGTTCATAAACTGTATTGAAAACAATCTGCATGAACTCTCCCGATGACAAAAAGCACTTTTGCTTTGTGAGATGATACATGSAGTTCTGAGTGTTGCCGTGGGTATAAACAGGTTTTGTAATAATTCCTCAAGATACTAATGTTTTTTGATAAGGGTGTGTTAACTATACATTCATAGAAATCCTACTACAGTGGAACTCCTGTCTGAAAGAATATTTGAATGATGTTACTGAAATAATTAACAGAATGAGCAGTAATAGCATTAACCATATGACAATTAATTTAGAGGGAACAAGCATAATGTAAGGGCCCGTGCTAAAAGGATTCAAAACATAAACACATAGATATGATGTGAGATCCCTATCTTCAAAACCAGTTTTTTAAAAAGGACTATTCAGGATTTGAAAGTAGGATACAGAATGTAACATGATTTATGCAATACATACTGTTTTTGATATCCATAAACTGCATGCTAATTATCAAACTACCTTATCSTCCATACTCATAAGAATATACTCCACTGAAATTAACAGATACTGCATTAAGCATTAAGAATTACAGAAGTAGAATATATCCCAGACTCTTTCTTTAAATTTATTACAATCAAAATTCAGAATTATTAAAATATGTGGTTGTTTCTGTATTACTGTGTCTACGACAGTCTCAGAGATTTGTAACCATAAATAATGAGGTCTGAAAAAGACCCCAATTGACCAAATTGAATAGACAAACACATACAGTGGAAGAAGCAGAATTGCTTCTCCCATCTGAATCAGTTGGTCTAATAAAAGTATTCTCTCATCTATTACTTTATTTCTTTAAAGTTATTTAAAGAAAATTCAATTGAGCATGTAATAAAGTGCCTTTATAAACATAAAGTCTCATCTGCCTATTGTCAAGGATAAATTTCATCTGATAAGTGAAAAAAATGTGTTGATAATGGCAAACACTGGAAAGTTCTTGTTAGGGTCAGAATAACTAGGAATCAGGACAGAAAAGACAAGATGAAAAAGTAATAGAATTTCTGGGCTTATTAATTTGCAGATATTTGTACTAAAGCTCACAGAAAGGTCATTGTTACGTAGGATGTTGCCAATCCACTGACAAAGAAAACAAAATCCCTGCAAAAGACAATATTTCTCACTTGGAAAACTTTTTTTTTTTGAAAAGTGACACATAGAAATGGTTGAAATTGAACAGGTCATCAAGATCCAAAGAAATCAGGTATCCTAACTCAAAAAACTTGTAGGCTAGATATTCCGTTTATAGTTTTCAGCAAAACATTTTACTTCTGCAGTTTATGACTGCATTAGTAGAAACATTTTAACTTTAAGAGACCACACCCAAACTTGCTATATTTATCTTGTAAAAGATCTCAAAATAACAGCACTGTGGTTGACTTTCATTTTTATAGACATCTCTCTGAGGAGAATTTCTGAAAAAATAATTGATGCAAAAAATGTCTTGGAAAGAAAAACATTAACCTGTTCCTCAAATATGGAAGTGATATAGGAAAAATCTTCTTGGAGTCTGTATATTTTAGACCAGAATTGTAAGATACTTAAAACAATTGCCCCTGGGTCTCTATGTCTGTTTGCTGGTGAATATGACTCTTTTTTTTTTTTTTTTT